GGGGGGGGGCCCCAAAAAAAAAAAATTCGCGGCGGGCCGGAGGGGAAAAAAATCGGTCCTTGGGGCAGCCCTTGTTTTGTTCAGGGCGCCCTCCACAATGCCTGGAAAGGCAGCCCCCGGGGGAAAAGGGGGACTTCCTCATTGAGGTGGTGGGAAAATTTCACGGGGCCCCCCCCCCTCCAAAGGGGGTTTTATTGCCCCCCCCCCCCCCCCCCCGCCGCCGCCGGACCCCGCACACCCCTCCCCTTTGGACCTCGCAGAAAAACCGCATCATCACACGGCCGACCAAGGACGCGCAACGGATGCGGAGCGACGTGATGTCTTGGAACGCTGGCGTCGAAGGTGATGGCGCAAACAGCGAGGACGACGAGGAGGAGGAAGACGAGGGAGCCGGCAGCGCGCAGGAGATCGCAGAGTGATCAGCGTCCCCGTCGTCATCCCTCTCTGTCACGCGATATTATGGGGGGTGCCATCGCGCGCATGACGATGGAGAAGCGAAACGCAGAGCTTCGCAGGACCCCTGCCACTGATGTGTGGAGGGAGGAGGGGAAGTCCCCCCCTCATTCGCCGTCGCCAGAAAGTAACTGAGGACGATGGAATCACAGTGGCTGCGTAGACTGCCTTGTACACATTCCCTCTGTATTTGGTTTTTTGATCCCCCCATTTATGATTAAATGCCATTTTTTGGGAAAATATAATTATTCAATATGCCATATTGGTGTCCCGGTGTGCATACTCTGAGTATTGCTATTTTGGCTCGCGAGAGGGCTCCTGGACGCCTCCAGAGTACTCTCAACCCCGGTCACGCCTCCGAATAGCTCAGCTCGAGGCTCGCGCCGTCGGAGAGCCGCTCGACCAGCGCTGCAAACTTGCCGTACAGCGGCGACGCGTCGATGACGGAGCGCTCCGCGGCGCCGAGTTTGTCGGCGTCCGGTGCGATCCACATGCCGCTGATCTCGCCGCCCTCGGCCGCGTACAGCACGACCAGCTCCTGGCTGCGCGGCGCGGTCACGCCCATCGACCCGTCGAGCGCGAGTCCTGTAGGAAGGCTCCGAGAAGGCTCGGGCAGTGCAGCCGCCACGCCCAGCCATCCCGTGCAGGGCGGGGCCTGGCCGCGGCGTGACGAGCGACTCGTGCGCCTCGAAGTCGAGCGAGTAGGAGGGGAGGCCTCCGCCGGGCGCCTATTCATTGGTACGACTGGCCCAGTACTCCTTGTTCGATCATTCGAGGAGAAGAGGCCTTCCCCCCGGCCGCCTGCCAGCAATAGCGCCTTCGCCACCCTCCGCGCAGGCCGACGCCAGACTCGCGGAACACCGTCCCGTACCTGGGAGTACGAGTACACCGCAGTCCAGGGTGCGAACACGGTGTGTCGTACACTGTACAACGGCTACGAATGCAGCGTGGATGCAGCGGCCAAACGGTGTAGCCGAGTGCACGCCTTCTCAGGCGCCAGCCGGAGCACAGGGGACGCGTTTCCGGCATCTGGGTGCCCGGGCGCCGCTTCTTGAGCGCCTCAAAGTCCGGCAGGACCGGCCGGCCGTCCACCGTCCGCACGCTCGCCTCCTCCGAGAAGCACCTGCAGGCCAGGCTCCGACAAGGCTCGGGGACGGCTCCTCGGGCCGTGCCGCACCCTCGCCCCCCTCCAGAGCGCACTCGCTGAAGCGGCGCAGCTTGCGCTCGAGCGCAGGCAGCCGCAGATCGTTGCCGTGCACGTCCCGCTGCAGCATCGATGACACCGGCTCGTTGTACACGCCCATGGCCTTGTCTGCCAGCGCCGCCGCGCCGAGCGAGAGCACGTCCTCGTCCTCACTGTCGCTCGCCTCGCGCGCCCGCTTCATCGCCTCGTCCATCGAAGCGGCCGCGCTCCGCACCGTCTCCTCCGACGCACCGGCCGAGGAGGACTCGCTCCGCTTCTTGAACTTGGCCGCGCGGTTGTACGCCGACGCTGGCTTGTGGTGCCTCTCGCTCTGCTGCTCGGCATCACGCGCTGAAGCCGAGTCGGCCAGCGCCGCGCGGTCGACGCCATCCGAGTAGCCGTTAATGGCACGTATGGCGCCACTCGCCCGACCCTGCAGGTAGGCCTCGTACTGCTCGTCCTCCGCGGTCTTCTCCTCCTGCGGCAGCTCTTCGCCGGGCTTAATCACGACCAATTCGCCGTGCTCGTCGCGAAGAAAGGTCGCGCGGTCCGACTTGGCCGCCGGCTCCGGCTCCCGCCGTTTGTCGGGGCCGTCGAGGAAGGCCAGGTGCGCGGGCCGCTTTCCATCGCCGCGGCCTCTGCCCGCACTCATGGCGAACAGAGACACACACCGAGAAAAAGAATTCCCGGCCTTACAGGCGACGGCTAAAACCACACTCCTCTCCTTAAAACCCCTGTGTGGTGGCGGCGTGCCGTCCTCCCATTCCTCCCTTGGTTTCTCTGTTGGCTTTGTCTTCGTTAAAAAGACTACTTGCGTCCCCAAGTGCAATCGCTTCTCTATGGACTATGCCCTTTCGGGCAGCTGTCTGGGGAGCACGCATGACCAAACAACGACCTTGCCTTCCGCGGCCTCGTCGAGGACCTATTGTTCACACGTATTCGACTTGGCCTGTATAGCGGCAACAGCTGCGGGCCACGGGATTCCGGCGCGAGCCTCGACGCTGAGCCGGCCGTGCTCGTTGGCCATCGATAGTGCAAGGCGGGGCGCGAGCGCGCCTGAGAGGAACAACATACGTTTCCGCCCAGCGCATGGCGACCACACAGCAGGCAGATGGGCGCGGTCTTTCAGCGTGCGTCACGCGAAGGCAGCCCAGCTCACAAGCCGAATGCATGCACCTGAGAGGATACAATCGGCTCGTGTGTGCAGGCTGCAAGCGGTGCTGATGTATGCGTCCGCACCTCGCAACAACGACGAGTTCGGTGCAAGCCTGCCCGTCGCTTGCCGCAGTCAGCAATGCCCGAGCGCGGGAGCCAGCGACGCGCTTCGGTGAGTGCACAGCCAGCATGGGGTGGAAATGCCCGCCCGCCACTTGCAAACCGACCTGTGGGAGAGAGGGTGGGGTCGGCCAAGGGGGCTGAGTAGGGGTCTACGATCTCACAGCACTCCGCGAGCGCCTCGTAGGGCTGCGCGACCATGACTGGGTGCGGCCGGAAAGAAGCAGCCACCTCAGTCTCGTCCTCGAAGCTGCCGCCGAGGCCCAGAGCGTCTCTCGGCTGGATGGCAGCTGTCGGGGGCGGCAGCGGCTGGTTTGCCACCCAGTCGCTCATCTCCTGGTTCCTGGTACGGAGCGGCAAGCAGCCGTCTCCAGAGGGCGGCACGATCGCGGGAGACGGAACAATCGCGGTCGAAGGCCTCCCGAATGTCCCGAGGAAGCTCGCCTGGCTGGTTGAGGTCATCGGCGCAACCAGTTGTTCGGGGCTGGCATACGGGGTCCAAGAGCTGACCGGGCGAACCAACTCCGACGGCCGGTGGTTGGGATGTGCCGAGAAGTCGTCCGCCGTCGTGCTGCCTCCGAGCCTACCAAATTCTATTGCGATTGTCAGGAGGCAGTGAAGTAAAGGTACAAGAATGCGCCTCGCCTGTGCGTTTCCGGTGACCGAGCCAGCGGCGACCAGATCTTGGCTTCACGTCCGCGGCGTCTCGCCGCCGCGGCGTCGCCTATGCTCAAGCATAAACAGCATGGCAATGTAGTGGCTAACGGCACCCAAATAACGGTGGGAGGATCCCTCTGTCCAGGTCATCGTTGGTGTGCTTTCGCCACTTTGCCAATGGAGAGGGTGGCTGCTTTGCTGGGCTTGCAGGGTTCGAGTCATTGCCAGTGCCGTGCAAGGGACTGCCGGCGACCGCCACTAGCATTGCTCGCGCCAGCGGACGCGGCGACGAAAAGGGCATCAAGCCCCAGCCCTGTTCGTTTCGCTTCTGGTGTGGGCCCAGAAAAAATCACGCTCTATGTTTCTGCCGGGACGAAGGAGAAGAACCCCCCCCCCTCCCCCTGGCGCAGCGTTTTTCAGTGTTTGTAGCTCTTACGTACATTCCCGTAGGAGGACTCTACTGACAGGGTTTGCGATGAGGAGCGACACGAAAGGGTTTCTCGGAGGTTAGTGCACCACCGCCGAAGCGCAAGCGCTTTTTCGAAATTTTCATACTCTCGCTATACGAAGTACCGAGGACGCACGCAGACGATGAAGACTGATGCCGGACCCGAGAGCAAAGCAGGCTCTGCGGCGACGGGTGACGCGTCGTCGTTGAGCAGAGGTGACAGCTGCAGTGCATGCTGTCGTTGGTTGGCCACCGCAGCCGTGCTTCTGCTGGTCTGGTGTCCTTACTGGGTGGTGCCTCTCTTCTGCGAGGAGCAGTTGCACCTCCGCCTCTTTGGTCTTGCGGACGCCGGACACGCCGATGGCCACAGCAGGGATTACGAGCACGGCTCTCATCACCGCCGACTCGGCGGGGGAGGAGGAAGCGTTCTCTGTCCAGCAGATGGCGGATCAGCGGATCGCGCGTGGATCTCGTCTGATCTGCCTTTCTATCTTGGCGTTGCCCACACTCTCTTTGGTGGATGGGTCATGGGCCGCGTGGCAGACGCGGCCCGTCTGCCTCCCGTCCTCGGCTTCATTGTCGCTGGCTTCTGCTCAAGACCCATCACCGACTCCATCACTGCGTCCGCCGCACCCTACATACAGACGCTCGCTTTCCTCGTCGTCCTTGTCCGCGCCGGTCTTGAAATCGAGCTCACTGACCTGAATCGCGTCACGGTGCCGCTCGGCCTGCTGCCGGTGCTTGCAGATGGATCAGCAATCATGGCGACTGCGATGTACTCGCTCGGCTTCTCGCTCACCGAAGCCGGGGCGCTCGCCTTCATCCTCGCGTCCCTGGGTGACGGGCTTGTGATCCCGCTCATGCTCGAGCTCAAGCCACTCAGGCTGGGCCCGATGCCGCGCCTCATGTTCACCGCAGCACCGCTCGAGGCTTGCACGGCGCTCTTTACCTTTGGCGTCTTTGAAGGCTTCGCAGCCGCCGGCGCGAACGACCAGCCGGCGTGGTCCGTCATCTTGCTCGGCGTCGTCGTCAAATTTGTCGCGACGCTCGTCGTTGCGCTGGGTCTCGCTGGAGCCTTTGTCTTTCTCGTCGAGGAGAGGCCCCGCTTCACGGTTTGTGGCCAACCCTTCTTCACGGGGCAGCCACAGGAGGAGCTTCTATTCGTGTGTGCCGCCGCACTTCTCGCCTACGGCCTCGCTGATGACGAGTTTATCGTAATGTCCAACGGTTACGGCGGATCACTCCTGCACAAGGACCTCGCAGTCGTGGGGGTGGCCGTGTTCTACGCTGCCCTTCGCCCGTCCAGCGTCCACAGCCTCGAGCACATGTTCGCCTCAATTTGGACGTTTGGCGCCCTCTTCCTATTCATCCATCTCGGCGCGCGCATTGAGCTCGGCTCGTTTCTGCGCCTGCCGTCTGTTTTGCCGCTGCTGCTTGCAGGGTTGGCTGCCCGCGCTGTCGCCTATGCAGCCGTGCTGCTCGCGACCCTGCCCTCGCGCTTGCAGCACGACCGTCACGCCTGCCACAACCTCGTCTACGAGTGGGGATTCGCCCTCGTCGCCTCCCTCCCCCGGGCCACCATCCAAGGTGCCCTCGCAGCCATCCCGGCAAACATGGGCCTCTTCAGCCACGAGAAAAATGAGTTTATGCGCGAGGCGGGCGTGCTGTGCATCGCGATCATGGCGCCCGCTGGGGTCGTGCTCCAGAAGGTACTCGCGGAGCCGCTGCTGCGCAGGTGCAGGTACGACGAGGACGAGGCCAACGAGGACCCGCAGGCGTATGTTCCAAATGTGAGCCGCCGCGTCTCGCAAGAGTACGGGCGGCCGAAGCGCTTCGAGAAGGAGTGGGAGCACGCAGCGCGGCAGGAGATGCCAGCACTCGAGGTGTCGGCGAGCACGATCCACCGCATCCACAGGGATGGCGAGGCCGCAGATCCGATCCGCCGCCGCCCAGTGATACACCGCCAGCACGTCTTTGCGCAGACCGCGCCCGTGCTCGACGAGGGGGGTTCGCCATCGGGCCGGGGCGACGTACCGGCCCTCCGTGGAGAGCTTCTTCGGACGGTATCCGAGGGTGCCTACTCGGAGGGTCGTCACGATGACTTTGGCGACATGTTTCTCATCGACCGGAGAAACCGGCCGGCGATGAGGCAGCCCCTCAAAACGGTGTCCGGGCCTCCAGCGCTGTGACCCCCCCCCCCCCCCGGGGGGGGGGCGGGTCGTGCAGGGGGCGCGTCTTTTCTCACAAATGCATTAATCGTAAAAAACCTCTCTGCAGACGAAAAACTCGCTTAGCACATTGCTTGCCGCATCCTTCAGTTCTTGTTTAGCCCGCCAAAGGCGTAGTCTGCCTCCAAGAACTTGTCGTACAGCTCGACCAGCTTCGCCTCGGGCTGCCTTGTGGCCCGGAAGCACTCCCGCGAAAGGGCCAGGTCCAGCCAGCGACGCGTGCGTGGGTGCCGCGCGAGCGCATCGATCTGCTTGTAGTGCCTCAGCGAAAAGTCGAGGCGCTCGAAGAAGGGGAGCGCGTTTGCGTCAGCGAGCGTGAAGGCGTCGCCGAGCAGGTACGGCCCGACGAGGCGCGCCTCGTAGACGTCGAGCGCCGCGTCAAGGGCGGCCCGCTTCGCCTCCTCGGACGGCGCGTCCTTATTCATCAGCAGCGTGAAGTGCGCCACCGCCAGCTGCGAGTCGCAATGCTCGTTCCAGAGGCGGATGCGCGCCCTCGCCGCCGGGTCGGCCGGCAAGAGTGGGCCGCCCTCTTGCCGCTCGGCGAGGTACTCGTTGATCAGCAGCGACTCGAAGAGCGTGACGCCCGTCTCCGCGTCGCGCAGCGCCGGCACCTTGCCGCGCGGGTTGACCTCGCGCTCGTACCGCGCCCTCTCCTGCGGTAATGTAGCAAGGAAGGGCGTGGTGACCCGGCGTGGGGCAAGGGCAAAGGCTGTCCCCCGCGTCTCCACGTCCCAAGGCGGGAGCCCCACGGCATTGGGAGAGCAGAGGCCCTCTCCTCCTCGCTGCCGCGCAAGTTGACGGCGCGGCGAGAGTACGACGCGCCGAGCTCTTCAAGCACGATCCAGCACCTGAGTCCTCGTACCGGCGCTCACTGACGGCTTGAGAAGGGTCGGTGCGAGGAGAGCGGGATCGGGCACCGCTGCGCGAAGGGACACATGTCCAGCGTGTAAAAGTCGAGCATGTTTGCGCCCTCCTCGGGGAGGACGTACTTGCGGATCGCCGCCGCCACGCCGTCGTCGCTGTTGCTCGGCACGACCACGTCGGCGGCGGCGAGGGCGGCGGGCTGCGCGTTTGCAGGCGCGGCGCCGATCCCCACTATCCGGAGCATGCTGAGGTCGTTCTCGGCGTCGCCAACCGCGAGCGCGTCTTCCGGCGCCACGCCCAGCGAGGAGAGCAGCTTGAGCACTCCGCTGCCCTTGTCGACGCCAGGAGGGAGCACCTCGCACCACCGGTCTCCGTGGTGCAGTATCGTCGCGCCGAGCCCCTCGAGCCGCGCGCGAAGCTCGCAGACGGTCGCATCCATGCTCGCCCACCCGTCCTCGCCGGGCAGCGTCCAGATCACAAACTTGAGCACTCCTCTCGCCTCGAGCCCGTCTAGGCTCGGCAGCAGCACCGCGTCCGGCTCGCCCGCCCGCTCGATCAGCGAAGTGATGGCCGACGGCGAGCCGTCCGGAGAGAGCTCGACGTACCGAATGGCGTGGGGCGCGCCGGGCTCCCAGCGCGTGGCGGCGAGGACGCAGAGCCGGGCCGCGCTGTCGCCGCCGGCGCAGCCTCCAAGCGTGTACTCGCGCACCGCAGCCACGATCTCGTCGGGCAGCTGCGACTCCCAGATCGGCGAGCCGCTTCCGTCGACGACCAGCGCTCCGTTGCCAAAAACGCACGCGCCGATGCCGGGGACCTGCTCCTTGAGCGCATCGAACCACGGGCCGGGGATGCGCCCCGTAGCGAGGCTCACGTGCACGCCGCTCTCCACACACTCTGTCAGAGCGCGACGGTTGCCGTCCGAGAGGTCGCGGCCCGCAAATGAGAAGAGAGTGCCGTCTACGTCTGTCACGACGATGGATTTGCGCGGAGAGATAGCCGCGAGCGAGACGGTGAACAGAGAGAGAGACATCGCCGATGGGGACCAGGCGTGTTCTCGAGGTTCTCGAGGTGGATATCCTTTGGCCGCGTTGGGTAGCGAGGATTGGTGTGACGCGATCCACGAAGGCGTGGTTTCTGACGGCCGACCGTCAGTGCACCAGGCGTCTGCGTGGGCGGAATTTTCTTTTCCTCTGCAAGGGGCCCCTCCAATCTCCTGCCCCACCGCTTGGTAGCAGGTAGCATCGAGGGGTGGCCTTGTCTCCCACGTCGATGCGGGCGTAGGGGTTGAGTTGAGTAGTGCGTCATCTTGAGGAACGCTAGACTCGACTCCCTCTCGGAGATCGACGCCGCCCGACCGCCGGAGATCACCGGAGATCACCCGAGATCACCGGAGATCACCGGAGGTCTCGATGTCGCGGCGACGACGATCTCGACGGGGCCCTGGCGTGGTTGGGCGTTGTGCCTCCCCACGCCCTGGGACAGACAACACATGCCAGGGCCGACAGACACATCACGACACACATGAACAGAACACGCTGCGTGAAAGCGGGGGAGTGAGACTAGTCGTCTCCTCAAGTCGTCTCTCCAATGAGACCCATGAACAAAGAGAGCCGATCCAACTCGTTGAAGATACATCTCGTGAAGCTGGCGTCGCTTCAACCGTGGACAGGGCCGATCCTCACAGCTCAGGCTGAGCTGGAGATCCAAGGAGCCGCCTGCTCCTGCCCGCCTCCGCCCAACCGACTATGCGGTGACGACGACAGCGGAAACTCGGCGCGAGCCGAGCCCGCGACCACGGAGGGAGATGCTATAGAGAGAGTGAACACTGGTAGCGTGTTTTGATCGGAATCAGCTCTGAGCCATGAACATCGCCAGGAAGAGGGCGGGTGGGGGGCGATTGAATCATGGCGCGAGGCGCGCTGGCTCCATGGCAGCACGTTGAAGCAAAGCAGGTGGGGACGAGGACGCGCGTAAGGACGCGTCGCCATCTCTGCTGTGAATAGAGGGAGAGTGCTGCAGCGTTGGAACCGTAGCTCGGCGCCTCGCCCTCAGCAGAGCGGGCGAGAAAAGCTGAAGCTGTTCGCGCCACCTCTGCAAGGGGCCCCTCCAATCTCCTGCCCCACCGCTTGGTAGCAGGTAGCATCGAGGGGTGGCCTTGTCTCCCACGTCGATGCGGGCGTAGGGGTTGAGTTGAGTAGTGCGTCATCTTGAGGAACGCTAGACTCGACTCCCTCTCGGAGATCGACGCCGCCCGACCGCCGGAGATCACCGGAGATCACCCGAGATCACCGGAGATCACCGGAGGTCTCGATGTCGCGGCGACGAGGATCTCGACGGGGCCCTGGCGTGGTTGGGCGTTGTGCCTCCCCACGCCCTGGGACAGACAACACATGCCAGGGCCGACAGACACATCACGACACACATGAACAGAACACGCTGCGTGAAAGCGGGGGAGTGAGACTAGTCGTCTCCTCAAGTCGTCTCTCCAATGAGACCCATGAACAAAGAGAGCCGATCCAACTCGTTGAAGATACATCTCGTGAAGCTGGCGTCGCTTCAACCGTGGACAGGGCCGATCCTCACAGCTCAGGCTGAGCTGGAGATCCAAGGAGCCGCCTGCTCCTGCCCGCCTCCGCCCAACCGACTATGCGGTGACGACGACAGCGGAAACTCGGCGCGAGCCGAGCCCGCGACCACGGAGGGAGATGCTATAGAGAGAGTGAACACTGGTAGCGTGTTTTGATCGGAATCAGCTCTGAGCCATGAACATCGCCAGGAAGAGGGCGGGTGGGGGGCGATTGAATCATGGCGCGAGGCGCGCTGGCTCCATGGCAGCACGTTGAAGCAAAGCAGGTGGGGACGAGGACGCGCGTAAGGACGCGTCGCCATCTCTGCTGTGAATAGAGGGAGAGTGCTGCAGCGTTGGAACCGTAGCTCGGCGCCTCGCCCTCAGCAGAGCGGGCGAGAAAAGCTGAAGCTGTTCGCGCCACCTCTGCAAGGGGCCCCTCCAATCTCCTGCCCCACCGCTTGGTAGCAGGTAGCATCGAGGGGTGGCCTTGTCTCCCACGTCGATGCGGGCGTAGGGGTTGAGTTGAGTAGTGCGTCATCTTGAGGAACGCTAGACTCGACTCCCTCTCGGAGATCGACGCCGCCCGACCGCCGGAGATCACCGGAGATCACCCGAGATCACCGGAGATCACCGGAGGTCTCGATGTCGCGGCGACGACGATCTCGACGGGGCCCTGGCGTGGTTGGGCGTTGTGCCTCCCCACGTCTCGGACTTCGACGGCTTGACGGCGTGGTCGAGCCCGGTACGGCACAGCACAGCGCCCCCACGCGAGAACCGTAGTCAATCAGTCGACGAGCGGCCCGCGTAGAACGACGCCGACAGTGCATCTGGTGTCGGCAGCTGCGAGGCCTCCCCGGCCGGCGCTGCGCCTGCGTGAGCCGCTCTCGCGAGGCTTGAGTATGTAGAGCTAGTCGAGGTATCCTATGGCGAGGCGACAGCACATCCAGCTGCCCGCCCGCCACGCCGCCGACGAGGCGGCGCACGAGTCGACGCTCTTCTCGATGAAGAGCTAGTCGAGATATACTCTGGCGGGACGACAGCAGTTCAAGCAGACGCTCAGCAGCACCGTCGCTCCCCGAAGGGACCCTGACAGTACCTTAGACGGCGGCGGCGCTGCCGGCGCGCCACACGCCTCGCTAAAGTCTAGATGGCGTGATGACCGAGATCGCGATCTCGTCTCAGCGCCCTTCTGGCTGGAATACGACGCGAGCCGACTCAGTCGGGAGGCGCCGCATTCGAATGCCGCGGGCAGCGCAGGCCTTTAGCCGCAGCTGCGGTACGATCGCTCCCTGCGGGGACCCTGACAGTACCCTTCGAACCGTCGCTCCCCGGAGGGACCCTGACAGTACGGCACCGCCGCTCCCTGAAGGGACCCTGACAGTACCCTTCGAACCGTCGCTCCCCGAGGGGGACCCTGACAGTAGGGCACCGTCGCTCCCCGAGGGGACCCCGACAGTACCCTTGCGCTTCAGCCGTCGCTCCCCGTAGGGACCCTGACGGTCGGGCGCCGCCGCTCCCCGAGGGGGACCCTGACAGCGCCCTTCGAACCGTCGCTCCCCAGGGGGACCCTGACATTAGGGCACCGTCGCTCCCTGAAGGGACCCTGACAGTACCCTTGCGCTTCAGCCGTCGCTCCCCGTAGGGACCCTGACGGTCGGGCGCCGTCGCTCCCCGAGGGGGACCCTGACAGCGCCCTCCGAATTCCGTCCATCTTAGGGTGGACAACGCCCTCCGAATTCCGTCCATCTTAGGGTGGACAACGCCCTCCGAGTTCCGTCCATCTTAGGGTGGACAACGCCCTCGTACTTCTGGTTTCTACGGCAGCCAGTCACCGAGGCGCGGCGGCCGGAATACCACGCCGTCCGACCTCGTCGGGAGGCGCAGGACCCGGACGCCGCGAGCAGTGTCGCCCGACCCGGAGCGACACTGCGGCACCGTCGCCCGACCCGGAGCGACAGTGCCCTTCTGGACAGTACCCTTCAACCGTCGCGTCGCCTTCCACGCATTGCTGGCAGAGCCCGTAAATGTAAAATCCCCTTCAAGCGCAGGCCCTGTCTGAAGCCGCTGCTGACGCACAGCCGGGGGCACAATCAGACCTTGGGCGCTGGCCGTCGATGGGCCTTGGTGGGTTGCCTAGCAATGCGAGAAAAGACTCTGCAACGAAGAACAATGACCAACTGCGCAGCTCACCGCCGCGGACACCGCGTTCATACCGCATTGCGAGCGTTGAACTGGCGGCTGACGACTGGCACGGAGTGAGTCCACAGTCGAGTCGAATGTCGTACGACCGAACGGCCATCCGTTGGGTGGGCTGACCCCAATCTTGAACGATACGCTCACAAATCACTGCCCGCCAGCACAAGTTCGGTATCAGCAGTTGAGTCGCATCCAGTGGATCGGCAGAGTCAGGGCGGGTTCTGCACCCAGGACCTCGCCCGTTACCCGCGTCACCACTAGACGCTCATCTCATCCTGCTCAATGATACGCTGAACAGCAAACTGTCCACCCCGACCACAAACACAGTCCATCGGGCTGGTCCATGTGGTGGCGGCGCCTTGCGGTGTGCACGAGATGCGGATCCGCGTGGAGACTGCGCGCCGTCCACCAGCCGCTGAATGGCTGTACGGGCTGTTCGAGCCGACAGAACAACGACAACTGAATGCGGAAATGAATGCTCTCGGCGCCAATGCTCTGATCTGTGTAGCGCCTGCGCGTGCCGCCCTGCGCAGCGGCCCATGGGCCTTTGCGATCCAAAGCGCTCCGGCCATGGCGATTGAATCATGGCGCGAGGCGCGCTGGCTCCATGGCAGCACGTTGAAGCAAAGCAGGTGGGGACGAGGACGCGCGTAAGGACGCGTCGCCATCTCTGCTGTGAATAGAGGGAGAGTGCTGCAGCGTTGGAACCGTAGCTCGGCGCCTCGCCCTCAGCAGAGCGGGCGAGAAAAGCTGAAGCTGTTCGCGCCACGCACTGGATGAGGGTCGATTCCGCATGGTACGGGACCCTGCACGTGGCTTGTGATCTGTGATCTGTGAGGGTGGTCCGCCCGCAGGAGAATTTTGTACACGGTATACCGTGCCTGTGCCGGGTTGTGCATACTTGCGGCTTCTCTGAATGTCTCCTCAGCCCCGCTGCGCCGCCGCCCTCCCCTCATGGTGCGGCGGCGCTCCGGTCCGCTCGCGCTTCGCCGCGCGAGCGGCGCGCAGCGCGGCGATCTCCTCCTCGGTGCGCACGACGGGTGGCGCTCGCGCGCGGCGGTGCTTCTTGCCGCTGCGCGCGCCGCTCGCCTGCGCGCCGTCGGATGGGATGTTGGACAGCTCGGTCGCCTCGCCCAGCACGGGCGCCTCGCCCTCCTCCCCGCCCCGCGCCAGCGCGGCGAGCTCCGCGCCCTCGGCCAGCCGCGTGAGCGCCGCCACCGCGCCCGCATCGCTGCTCGCCTCCCAGAGCGCCGCCGCCACCCTCTCGTGCACGCTCGGGTCTCCGTGCGCGAGGAACCGCTCGAGCGGCGCCGTGCCCTCCGGCGCGGGGGGCAGCCTCGTCTGCATGAGCGGGGCCTATT